AGCAGATATTTCTCCTCCAACAAACACCTGCATGAATGTAAGAAGACCATTCCGGGAACTTTTTGACTCCAGTAGTTTGACATTCGACTTTTTATCTCACAAAGTAAGAGTCAGATGAGTACAATACTAAATATTCCTCAAATATTGTACTAATATCACATTGCCGATAGCGATTACAATTAAAGTATACGCGGAATAATCATTTTGTTGTGACTATCACGTCAATATGTGGTTGGGTCACCTTTTGCCAGCATTGATTCTTTTATCATAGACTCTGCGAGGTGTTGATAAATCGTTTGGAAAATCTTAGTCCTTAGAACACGAAAAAGTACTTTTCAATAGTTTAAGATTGGGTGATTGTGGATCAAGATTCTGATGGACATGAGATGTATGATTAAGGATCTGAGGATTGTGAAATAAATGAAGAGTCTCCACCATATTTGTTGCTATTAGGAGAAATGATCAACATTACAAATGCACTTGTGGTGTAGTTGAGGCTATATTTATTGCTTTGAATCAATTAAGAGCTCGGAAGAGTTATTTTGTCTGATTGCAAAGCCGCTTTGCAGGCTATCTCCCAACAATAAAGTTTGCACTTCCGAATGAATTTATGAATGTATAGAAAGATTCTCAACACTCTGTTGGACTGAATTGTCTTGCAGTGAATTCCTGCTCATTGTGGCATCGAAGGAACTGAAAGGACTAATTTCCTGTCAAAGAAGGGAACGACTGTTTTACAAACCACTAATAACCAAATGACTTTTTATTCTGAAAAACTTCGATTTAAATTTGAATTTAAGAGAAGGTTTTCTATACCTACCTATCAAATGAAAGCCTGGAAGTATCTCACTAGTTCAAAACCAATCATTCCAGATTTTTCTCGTCTTCTGGCCGTGGTGTTATTTCTTATTTTAACTGGGCACGATTGTTTGAATTCCCACCTTTTTAAAATTCGGCTAAAGGACACTTCAGCCTGTACTCTTTGTGACTCTGGAGAGTCCATGGATAAAAACCATGTTGGCAAAAGTACTGCACTATTGTCTTTTAACTATTGTTCTTAAATATTGGGAAGCTAGATCGAGACTAACGGCTAGTGTCCAAATGTCTAGCATTTGTATTAATAAACAAATGCTCTTGTTCAGCAACGATGTTTAGATATGTCTTATTCAGACATCCAGGCACACGAAATAAAGGTCCCAAAATATCTCAGGAAAACATTCTCTGAAGCCTCATATTGACTCCACTGGCTTGAAATGTTGTAGCAATGCATTTAGTGTCCATTCTTTTATGCTGTTTTCACCAAACTCTAACTCACCCATATGTATGATGTAATTTAAAATGGAATCAATGAGCTCAATTCATAGACGTCATAGTCACATGATAATAATAACCATTTCAAAACTAATGTGATGGGGAGTCATAGTCATACGATAAAAGCAATCATGTGTTTCCAGATAATCAGCTCATGCGTTTCATTGTTGCCGAATTTTGCTCTTTCCAAAAACTTTCTCTTAAAAAATACAAAATCTGTCCACAATTATAGCGCACATAAGTAAACAAAATGCATTTTATCTAAAATTACATGCATAAAACAAGATTTTATTTTAAAATCTTTTGTAGATTTTTTAATAGCATTTCAACATCTTTACCTAATTATGAAAATTGAAATTTTATCAAAGTTCTACAAATAGAACTAGTACAACTAGTTTGATGTGTGTTTTTAATTCAATGGAGAACACGTGTTTGTCTTTATCATGCGACCGTCATGAAATTATTGGACCACATTATCTTTCCAAATTTTAACCGTTCAATATTTGCGTGCCTAATAGAATTTCAGAAATTTTGTCTTGTTTAGGGTTTATACAAAAACCGATTTTTTAAAACCGATTTTCAAATTCAATACTTCCAAGAAAACCGGTTTTAGCCGCTTTTCTAATTTTTGTGAAAAAAGAACAGATATGGAAAAATATATTTTATTTAATTTATATAAAATAATAAAACGAAAAATGTACACTTAACTTGCACAAACTAACGAAAACTCAAACAAAAAAGTTTCAAATAATATTTATATTATTCCCCAAAATTTAATTTCTCCTAAGAAATAGGATTTTAAAAAACATAAAATATCCACAGAACGGTTTCTAAGTCTTGTTCTGATTTTGGTCTTGTCTTGATATTGCCTGAAATTGAAAATACTCGTTCACACTAGCTATTGAGCTTGGTTTTACAGTTTTCAGGGCTGTTTCTATGTTTTTTGTTATTTTATTCGTTGTGTCATGTAATGAAAATTCAGCTTTCAGTGTCTTTTGTATTTGTAAAATTTTCTTCAGGGTCTTCAAGAAACTTATGAGTTGATTTTTCCACGGCTTCTTTTAAAAAAGCGTTACTCTGATGAGTAGTTTCTTCAATTTTCTCTTTATCAGAATCGGGTTTTACAAAGAAAATATTCTAGATAATATCTTTCCAAAATAAACCTATAATTTCGTCTTTTGAAACTAAAATAGTACGCTGGAAGAAAATACACTAGATTTCTTCACAGAACTAGAAATGTCTTGTGGAGTTTGTAAATACAGCAAAAGAGTTGCTAATTCTGTATAATAACATGAATTCTTTAAACCGGTGCAGTGGGGCCTCCTACTGCAAGCCGCAAACAACAAAGGACAGGAATAAAAGGCCTTAATGACTGTCCCGAATAGGGATTCCTTTTGTCTCAGTCGTCTAAAGCAGTGTTCCCTAACCTTTTTATCGCCACGGACCAGTCGACGTTTGTTAATTTTACCGCGGCCCGCTGAGGGGAAGGAAGTTGATTGTTTATATTCTAAACTGTTTTGATTTAATAATTTTACTTCAATTGTATTTAATCGGGACTTCAGAATAAAATAGGGCTGCTTAGCCAATGGCCAGGTACGGATCATGGCAGGTATTCATGAGTTCGAGCCCATACCACTAAACCCGCCGGGGGCAGCGATGCACGTTAAATCTGTCGAGAGCTGAAACGTCATCCCGTTGGTGTGGTGTGGTAGTTAGGAAGGGGTGCCAGCTCAGGTGTCGTCCACGTCACTTGACCATGGTTCAAAATGAGTCCGTCGCTAAAGCCCTCGTGTAGCTGAACAGTGCGACGTTAATATTCCCAATTCAGAATAAAAAAGCTACACCAAAATGAACATAAAGTGATTTTCATAAAAGTAAACCCAAAACCCAAAAAATATACCACAGTAAAGAAAGGAAAATAATTTAATGTTTTTGTGCGGACCGGCAGTATTTGATCCACGGACCGGGGGTTGGAGACCACTGGTCTAAGGCGCACGGCGTAGCTGCACCCCCGATAGGCCCGGTATTCAATAAACTCCCTTCCTAAGATCAACAGCTATCCTAATTTAAAATACGGTTTCCGAATGTGACAAATTTATTTTTAAACCTGTAAGGCCCCCCGATAGGGTGCCCCACTTTACTTTAAATTCCTCGCGACCTAGATCTGTGGGAAGGAACAAAAGGGAAGCAGCCATATCGCTTATCTTAATATCTTTTATTAAGATCTTAACTTAAACAATAAAACAATAACAATAATATTCAATTCAAGTGAATCTGGAGGAAGAGACACATATTCGTATTTCTAAATAATCGCAACGCCCACTATGTCTAACTCTACCGACTATTTCCAACTTCAGTAACTCACAGTTCTTTTTAACTTAATTTAACAGTCTTACCGCCGCTATATCTTGGTAAACAGCAATTGCTTGATTCTAACTGACGTGGCTTTTATCCTTGTGCAAGGTATCCACCTTTAGCTTGATCCAAGGTACGGATAGATTAAATCTTGAACCGGGATTTCCTCACTTTACCTTAGGCGTTTGTCAACATAGACCTCGTATATTTACTTCATAGCCACCCTGCTTACGCTAAACTTCTACTATTTATAAGATTCCTAATTTGAATATTCACGCTTCTCTTCTTGAGTTGGTCGGAAAAAATTGCCATTCTGGCCCCAAAGAAACCCTAGAGAATAATTAGTTGAAATCGCGATGAGCCCGTCACAAACCGGGTTTGAAAAACCATCAAATCCTATTCTTGTTGACTAAAGAAATAATAATTGATTTCATTGGAATCAGATTCCATGCACAGTACAGCTAATACTGTGATTTTATTTCTGAGAGAATTTTCTGCGCTGTTATCATTCTAATTTCTTTCATAATTTGGGTGTTTCTACGTTACGCCCGATCATTCGTTACTTGGTGACGACCACAATTTGCTCGTCCAGACCAAGTATTTGTCTGACATCTCAGTCTCGACAGCTCGTGAATATTTTACAAATACAGTAATACCTCAACTTAGGGAATTTGGATTGATCTTATAAATAATAAGCACTGTGGTTTTAATTTGTTTGAATCTTAAAATATAGTTTGTATCATTTTAAACCTTTAACAGAAATATAACAACGAAAAATCCTATTCGAGCAATATTTGATAAATAAATCAATGAATACTTTTACATGGTACAAATTATAGATACACAAATTCAAAAACGTCACTAAAACTCTTAAAAATGTTTGTCTTCTTTATGAACTGTAGATAATTTAATGTCTTCTTTATAGCATCAAAAATAATCGGGATGCTCTATATTAAATTGGAGATAACTGAAACTCTTAAGAACTTCTCTAAAAAAATCGTAAGTTTAAAAAAAATTTTAAGCGACTAAATTTGTATAACTTATTTAATTCCTACTATTAGTTCACTCTCTCCCTGTATATATATATATATATCTTGTTCAAATTTTCAATAAAATTCGTTATAAATATATTCGTTCATTCAATTCCTTAATAAAATACTTTCTGTTTATCCATTTACGCTTTCAAATACATTTTTTAAACTTGTGGTGGTGGACGCTTGATGTTAATACAGTTTTTTCAAATATTAATTCATTAATTAAATTAGAAAATGAATAAATAGCACCAGACAAAAATAATAGTCCAAACGCATATATTTAAAGGAAAATCGTTCGTTGTCAACGCGATGGATAGCGTATTGGGCTTCTAATCCAAAGATCGTTAGAGTTCGAATCCCACCTGGGATGGCCTAATTTCTGAGAGAGAATGTAATTTCTTTTTTACTATACTATTTTATTAGAATAATTAAACTTAATGAATGATTAAACAGTAGCACACAAACAGAAAAATAGACCTACACTATATATAAAAAGAAATATGGAAAATTGTAAGGAAAATCGTTTTCTATTTTGTCACTTAGTATTGTTATTCTGTCATTTGTATATACATATTTGTATTAATTGTAACTATTTAATAAAAAGTAACAAAAATAAAATTTATCTTGGTTGAACTCTAAGTAGTTGACTTTAAAAAAAATCTTTTTATATTACTTGTTTTTAACTAAAGTGGAATTCTGCTAGGAAATACAACATTCATAAATATCAAACATAGCTTTTAAACTTTAACATTAGTTAATATTTTAACTTTACCTAAGTAAACACCTTTTAACAATTATTTTTTACTAAAATGCACGAAATTGTTTCGTAGCAATACTTTTTTTCACCTTTGATTAAATTATAATTATAAACATTTCAAAGCAAAAATGAAAGAAGATATGAACTTATAATTTATAAATACAAAAGCAAGCATTTACATTTTTAAAATAAATTCAGACACTAAGTCATTACTCTCTTCACCTTAAGCATGCGTACAATATACTTCAGGGCCTTTCTAAGGTATTTAAAATCCATTCTTAAACATCACAATATAAACTTTCCTCAAAAACATTCATTAAAATTTCCTCTTTACCAAAATCTTACCCCGAAATCCACCGACCAATTGAAAAGCGAGCGCGGAAACTGCTCTCAAACAATCTTCATAACAAAATACTTTCGTTAATGAGTTATTGCCACTTCCAGTTGACTCAATTCTCGAAATATTCACACTGCAGGAATGTGAATTATTGCAAATAGGAACAATTTGCATGATATGGAGTACAAGCATACCTTAAGATTAATCGACTCAAACTGCACCCTCCAGTTCTGGAGAAAATGCAAATACTTGGGATTTCGCCTTAAAGCTCGAAGCAAAGATTTGCAATTAACCTCAAAGCCCCCTAAAGCAGAAATGCATGGAGTTGTGAAGGAATTCAATGCATAATACATCCAACTCTAGTGGACGCATAGTTGCCGACTAAATGAGCGAAGAATCCGAAGAGATAATAGCAACGACCGAATAAATGATTTTATTATGTTTCGGAAATTCTTAGAATGCTTTTAATGATTTTTTGGACGTGAAAGCGTCTTATAATCAAAGCTACAAGGATGGATAAATAATTTGTTCTCTTTTTTCAACCCCGTGGCATTACTGTGAAAGCTTTTGATAGAATTTCGGAATACTATTTAGAATCTTTGAGTTAAATATTCTCCAATATACACCCTGTATTGGGTTGGTAAGAAACTAATTTTGGTTTTCAAGTGTAAATTTTTTTCTTAACTAAACATAAGTCTTGGTATGAGTTGTTGACAGTTTCACTTATTTAGGTTCGGAAATTAACAATAGAAACGATTGTACTACTGAAGTTCAAAACAGAATTACTATGGCTAATAGGTGTCTTAATGGAATACGAAAATATATGAAATCGAATTTAAACAAAATAAAACAAAGGTTCTATTGTATAAAAGTCTTTTAAGTACAGTATTAACTTAAGCATGTGAAACTTGGTCCATGTCTCGAACGGATGAGAACATGATAAGTATCTTCGAAAGGAAGATTTTAAGATCCATTTTTGGAGGAATTCAGGAAAGTGGAACATGGCGAAGAAGATCAAATTTAGAGGTCTATCAATCATATAAAGAATCTAACATTGTTAACTTCATCAAAATACCATGAATTAAATGGGCAGGTTACGTTGTCAGAATGAACGAACCCCTAAAAAAGTCTTCAATGCTCAACCAATTGGCAAACGAAGAAAGGGTAGGGCAAATCTTGGATTGATTGCCTAGAAAAAGATCTCCTAGTTTTAAGAACTAAGAATTGGAGAACACTAGCAGGAAGAAGGCTAGCCTGGAAAAGGCTTCTTGAGAAGGCCGAGGCCCACCCTGGGCTGTCGAGCCACTGAAGAAGGAGGAAGGAAAAATAAGCTTTAATCAGTCGAATGCCTTCCATTCTGTTTGATTACCTTTTGCCATTTTTCTGGCAACTTCATGATTACGACGTCATAGAGTTTCTGGTCCTTATCTGAAAAATACTCAACCAAGTGCGATTTGAGAACATCATTACTACTGAAATTCTTACCATTTAAAGAGTTTCGTAAACTTCGATATACATGATAATCCGATAGTGCAAGGTCGGGGATGGAAAATGGATAGTCTATAACATTGGTATTCAAACTTTTTCGATTCATGGAACCCTTAAAGCTAAAGGTATTTTCTGGGAACCCTCTTCAGGGTCTTCAAAAACTTATAAATTGATTTTTCCACGGCTTCTTTTAAAAAAGCGTTACTCTGATGAGTAGTTTCTTCAATTTTCTCTTTATCAGAATCGGTTTCCACATAAGAATTTAAAAATATTCTAGATAATATCTTTCCAGATAATAATTTCGTCTTTTGAAACTAAAATAGTACGCTGGAAGAAAATACACTAGATTTCTTCTGGAACTAGAAATGTCTTGTGGAGTTTGTAAATACAGCAAAAGAGTTGCTAATTCTGTATAATAACATGAATTCTTTAAACCGGTGCAATGAAGCCTCCTACTGAAAGCCGCAAACAACAAAGGACAGGAATAAAAGGCCTTAATGACTGTCCCGAATAGGGATTCCTTTTGTCTCAGTCGTCTAAGGCAGTGTTCCCTAACCGGTCGACGTTTGTTAATTTTACCGAGGCCCGCTGAGGGGGAGGAAGTTGATTGTTTATATTCTAGACTGTTTTGATTTAATAATTTTAATTCAATTGTATTTAATCGTGACTTCAGAATAAAATAGTGGCTGCGGTAGCCCAATGGTCAAGGTATCGGATCATGGCAGGTATATCATGAGTTCGAGCCCAATTTAACTAGAACCCGCCGTGTACGGCAGCGATGCCCGTTAAAATCTGTCGAGAGCTGAAACGTCATCCGTTGGTGTGGTGTGGTAGTTAGGAGAGGGGGTGCCAGCTCAGGTATCGTCCACGTCACTTGACCATGGTTTAAAATTACTTGGTCCGTCACCAAAAGCCTTCGTGTAGCTGAACAGTGCGACGTTAATATTCACTCATTCATTCAGAATAAAATATAGGTACATCAAAAAATGAATATAAAGTGATTTTCATAAAAAGTAGCCCAAATCCAAGAAAAATTTACCACAGTAAAGAAAGGAAAATAATTTAATGTTTCTTGTGCGGACCGGTAGTGTTTGATCCATGGACCGGGGGTTGGAGACCACTGGTCTAAGGCATGCTACAGCATGCTTCTGGACCGGTAGGTAGGTGGATTCAATAAACTCCCGTCCTAAGGTCAACAGCTATCCTAATTTAAAATACGGTTTCCGAATGTGACAAATTTATTTTAAGATCCTGTAAGGTACCCTATCGGGGGTGCCCCAATTCTACATTATCCTCGCAACCTAGATCTGTGGGAAGGAACGAAGAAGCAGTCATATCGTTTATCTTAATATCTCTCTTTATTAAGATCTTAACTTAAACAATATACAATAATAATAATATTCAATTCAAGTGAATCTGGAGTGAAGAGACACACTATTCGTATTTCCAAATAATCACGTAACCGACCACTATATCTAACTCTACCGACTATTTCTAACTTCAGTAACTACACAGTTCTTAACAACTTAATTTAACAGTCTTACCACGCTATATCTTGGGTAAACAGCATTTCACTTGATTCTAACTGACGTGGTTTTTATCCTTGTGGAATGGTATCCACCTTTAGCTAGATCGCACAGGTACGGATAGATTAAATCTTGAACTCGGTATTTCCTCTCACTTTAACTTAGGCGTTTGTCAGCATAGACCTCGTATATTTTCTTCTCATAGCCACCCTGCGTAATCTAAACTTCTATTATTTATAAGATTCCTAATTTGAATATTCACGCTTCTCTTCTCTAGTTGGTTGGAAAGAATTGCCATTCTGACCCCAAAGAAACCCAAGAGGACAATTAGTTGAAATCGCGATGAGCCCGTCACAAACCGGGTTTGAATAATCATCAAACCCTATTCTTGTTGACTAAAGACAGAATAATTTATTTCATTGGAATCAGATTCCAAGCACAGTCAGCTAATACTGTGTTTTAGACGATCCTTGATTTTATATCTAAGAGAATTTTCTGCGCTGTTATCATTCTATTTTCTTTCATAATTTGGGAGTTTCTACGTTACATGATCATTCGTTACTGTGACGACCACAATTTATCGTCCAGACCAAGTATTTATCTGACATCACGGTCTCGAAAGCTCGTGAATATTTTACAAATACAGTAATACCTCGACTTAGAAATTTGGGTGATCTTATAAATAATAATAAGCAATGTCGCGTGGTGTTTGAATCTTAAAATATAGTTTGTATCATTTTAAACCTTTAACAGAAATATAACAACGAACAATCCTATTCGAGCAATATTTGATAAATAAATCAATGAATACTTTTACATCGTACAAATTATAGATACACAAATTCAAAAACGTCACTAAAACTCTTTAAAATATTTGTCTTCGTTGTGAACTGTGGATAATTTAATGTCTTCTTTATAGCATCAAAAATAATCGGGATGCTCTATATTAAAAATTGAATATAACTGAAACTTAAGAACTTCTCTAAAGAAATGGTAAGTTAAAAAAAAAATTTTAAGGGTCTAAATTTGTAACTTATTTAATTCCTCTCTACTATTAGTTCACTCTCTCCCTGTATATATATATAAATATATATATATATATATATCTTGTTCAAATTTTCAATAAAATTCGTTATAAATATATTCGTTCATTTAATTCCTTAAGGTATCCGACTACGTTCGGAACCGTGATTTTGCAAAGCACATAAATGGATAATTTTCATGATATTCAATGTCACTTAGATTAGAATACATGTACTCTA